CACAGTCCCCTAGTGTGGTCTAGTTCTCAACTGCCCATTGTAAGGGGTGTGTCCGATTTGATTTGAAAAGTGTCCGATTTGATTTGAAAAGTGTCCGATTTGGTTTGAAAAGTGTCCGATTTAAAGTGAAAATGGTATATATTCAGGAAGTCAATCTCCCCAAGAGACAAAATTTTAGAAAATTCCGTTCACGGAGAAAAAAGTCGGTTGGAAACTGGCCAGATTTCTCATGGTTGGGACAGGAACTGGTAAATAGTGCCGAGATATCTAAGGCAGTTTCAGATGGTTCAAACTCAGGTTTGACTCCGGGAAGGGGTCAGAAAAATAGCTTGGTTTCCGTTTCGCGCGTGTCCTTTCACGGAAACTAAGCAGTCGTCACTACATGTGCTCATCAGTTAGCGTCAAGTCTACTTCAACAAGAGCAAGCCCAAGTTTGAGTCCCGATTGGGACCGAGAAGTTCACGTGCATCTCAGCATTCTTACAATATCCATAAGACCAGCTTCTAAAATCTCTGGGCTCCAACTGAATTCTCACATATCTCTTTACTCACTCACTACTCCTGGATACATACAATCAAAATCAGTCAGCAAAATCGGAAATAAACGTACTTGAAGGAAACCATATTGATGTATTCATTGGCTAGGGAGACTGCCAAGTGCGAGTTGTTGAAAATTCTTCAGCAAACATACTCGTATTCTCCATTTGTCTCATGTATCAGGACAACTGGCACAACATATTCACCTTCTACTGCCCTACCGTTCGGGAGTTGAATTAAAATTTCCCCCTGGCGGTAGTTCGCTCAAAAAGGAAAACGGTTGACCTGCACGTCAATGGCGCCACCTTCAATCTCCGAAACCAGGATGGATGAAAACATGTCCACGGAGTTCGTTTGCAGTACTGAAAATATCTATCCCATCCGTTAAAAGCATGTGGCACAATAATTCGGTACTCGGTCTAGGGTGTTATATAGTGAGAAAATGGCGAAAAAGCGAAGTGAAACGGTCAAAAACCTGCGAAGGAAAACCTTCGCTCTTGATGACTTGAAAAGCAATTTCGGACGAGTTTCCCGTAGGCATCTTGCCAATAGCCACTACGATAGATACGAGCATCAGGTACGGTCGTCCATTTGCGGGCGCGGTGAGCGTCCCGTCGGTATGTTGCAGCTTGATAGGGCTTTATAAGGGTACCTTCCTTGGAAAAGGCACTACGCAGCGTCTGCTCAGGAAGGAATTCCGTCTTGCCAGGCAATCAGTCCCACTCTTTCAGGGACTTATCTTGATAACTGCCTTTGAACATGGGAACATTTCACGTCTCGCGAGCGCCAAATTTTTGAAGAGTTTTGTTCACATCCCATTGCACAGATAGCGAGGTTTCATTCTGATTGATTGTAATGGTAGTGCTCAGGAAATTAAACTACTTGGGAGGCAAAGTTGTTGTAAGTTTGAGATTTCAAAGTAACTAGTTGCGCGAGCTAATAACAACTCATCTTTTGGGGTGTGAGCCTCCCGCCATGTTTGAAAAGGGTATTGAACATGGCGTGAAATTTGACGTTTCATGGGTGGTTTATATGTACTTCACGAGCGGCGGCTAGACTGGTTCACCAGAAGACAACATTAGGGAGATTGCTGTCTGCTCTTTCAAAAATGTGAATAGGAATAACCTGTATATCATTCCGAGATAGTCCATGGTCTACATAAGCTGATGGAGCGTTCTTTCGATTTTATATACGTAGAAGTTACTGCCCTTTGTCCCTTTGCGAGTGCGGAAGTGTACGGGTCGAGAGATGCGCTTTGCGATAATACTTGCGCAGTATTGTAGTCCAACTGACTTGATGCCAAAGTGCTGCAGTCCACGAGCCAGCTATCTAGGAAATGCCGCACTAACTGAGCTAGTTTCTGCTCGCCGCAACTTCGAGTCTTCTTACCCTCAAGAGATTGAAAGTGACCATTCCCGGATTTACATGAATATATGCTGCAGATGTTTTTGTCATTGCGGTAGCAGAACTTTTTACTTTGAATTGCGCAAATTTCCAGTCTCTGAAGGTTTCACCTGCTCTGAATTACTTCAGAGAAATTTTCCATCCAGCGTGTTCCATGAACTCTCTGAACCTGTCATTTCCAGGTCTTCCAATACTCACAACTCGGAACCTACAAGCTTTTCTCGCGACTCAGGTTTTGTTGATAATCGCCTCAGTCAGACGTCCAGTAGTGTTAGGTAATTTTCAATTGCTATCATGTGATTGGACTTGACAATTTTCTCTTAGAAATCAGAAATTTAGAAGCTAAAACTGTTCAGTTCCAGACAATTAACTTCTGATGAGTCCAGCATCAACAGAACGGTTGGAAGCGCTAGAAGTGATGGATACCTGTGTACGGCCGACAAAATCCCTAAAGGAAGTCAAACGTTAGGAATAAGCTTTTTTGTTTTTTTTGTTCAGATTCTTTAGCGAGTTTTTTTTTCTTTCTAGATTTTTCATCAAAAAATATTGTTGCGGGAACTAGTGGTTGTCACATAAATACTCGCACTTCTCCATAGTCAGTTTGCAGTGAAATTCTCGTGTTAAGCACTGTCACCTGCAATAAAACCAACCAGGCCTGTCATTTTAAAAAGTATAGAGAACTTCTATCATTCAACCGCTATTCTAGGCCAGCAGGTTATGGTGTTTTTGTCCAACATGAAACTTTGGCTTTGAGACGAAATGTTTTGCCACGGAGATCTGTTCCGCGGTAGAAATACATGCCTCCTTATGAGGCAATGCATGCTAAGATTTTCATAAGCGACTAACTTATGGTATTTCTAGTGACTTAGAAAGAGTGATCTTTCATACGTATAATGTATTTTTGCACACCTCTTTCCACATAGCCTGCAGACAAAAAACTGTCCTTCTATTTCTGTGGATGTTGATCTTCGTCATGTTGTGAAGTGAATGGGTCGCAGCTGCGATAACGCGCCCACTTTCTTGCGCACAAGAAGCGCCGGAGCCAGAGCTTGGAGCGTGCTGATCCCCTTTCGGTTGTTCGTCCCGTTCTATCTTTCAAAGTTGCACCACACGCCAGATCCGTATGCGAAACCTGTCCTGGAGGAACAATCAGGAGTGACAAGCTTTGTATTCTGATTTGTTCTCTACTATGAGTGCGTCGAGCTTTCAGTGCGAATCTAGGTACCGAATTACAAGTGCCCCACAATGACCATGAGATTTAGTGCGTGGCGGGAGTATGCAAGAGCAGCAGGTGTGTGTTGATCACCCTCAGCCTGTCGTTTCCGTGTCCTTTTAATGGGAAATAACTTAGCGCGTACATGCAGCTGCTGGTCTTATCATCTCACACATGGAAAACGCATTATCTCGGGAGGTGATAGCATAGTTCGCCTTCTGAGAGTGGAATAGCCGCAGGATCTCGTGGAAATCTCAACGGCCCAAAAATTGATGCTATCTCAAAAAGCGCCGAAGGTGTTGACCCAGCTGGTCGAAAGATTCTATTTTTGACCTTGAGGGTATGAACCTCATCGGGACTCCGTTCATTTCAATGAGAAGCTGCTCAATAAGATTGATCAAGAAGATTCACGTCAGGCGATCTTGAAATGGATTCTTTGAACTCTCATACGATGCGTCACTCCACTCGACGCCAACGATTTGGGAACTTGTCGCGTAGGTTCCCCCCGCGTTAGCCTCTCATAGGGTTCAAAGTTCGAGCCGCACTAGAGTACACTTCACAACAAACTTCGAGTGCTTTTGCGGCGGTAGTACCTCGACTGGAAAGTGGTATTCAGAGCATTCATCCTTTCCCTTGCCAATCCACGTTGGTAACCTGGAAATAAACAGCACTTGAGAATTTGAAAGAACGGTCATAATTAACCAAGCTTATTTTTTAAAGAGCATAAAATTTTCCATCAAAAATTGGCGATCTTCCTCTATGGATTTTATGTTTATAAAACGTCGTTACCAATGAGTCAAACTAATACTTCTTTCCGGTTTCATTATAACCCAGTGGAGCGATGAATTCCGCCCTCTTGACCTGTTTGTCATACTTCTTGCTTTGCGGATAGTGTGCCCATCGGGCGCACCAATCTATTGAATGGTTGAAAAAAGCGCAAATTTTCCTTGAGCGGCACTCTAGAGCTCGTTTGTTCGCGGTACAGCGGCAAGGATTTGAAAAAAAAATTTGAATTTGGTCGACAAAATTCGTTTCACAAACTTTATTACAATATTTTACCCTTTACTTTAGTTACCGAGCTCTCTATCCATACACTCCTACGAAAGACGATGAAGTGGCTTTGGAAGTGAATGACATAATTTTCGTCGTTGAAAAATGCGATGATGGCTGGTTCATCGGTGAGTTCGATAGTATTTCTTGGAGTCACTCTTTCACCGTTTTCAGGGAAATTTCAGTAAATTGTTTTTGTATTTTTCTTGAGAACGAAATTTCAGGGACCGTTTTACGAACCGGACAATTTGGCACCTTCCCTGGTAACTACGTGGAAAGGCATTAGGTTGTCAGCGGATACGATTTTCGAATGAAAACAAATTTATTTGCCTGCAAGAGATTCTATTGACAATAAATATATGATAAATGTATCGTATTTCTGCTACCTGAGGATGACTCACAGACATTCTTCCAAAATGCTCACTAATGATCAAGAGACTCTGTGCCAAACGTTAAAGACTATAATCTATTATTTCTATTTGTATTACGTGTCTGAAGGAAACGAAACTGCGTTCTAATAGCTCTGTTTTATACTCTGGTTCACTACAGATGGGTGTCAAACCCGTTCTCTGCCAGTTGTTGAAGTGGTATGCGACAACAATTGGTAGGAAACGAGTGATACGAACGATATGATACAGTCTTGTCACTTGCTCGCTTCAACAACTGGTGGAGAACGGGTTTGGCACCGCGCCAAACTCATCCCGCCTGACACGCCCCTTCATCCGCAGCGAACTAGACTATAATTTTTGACAACAGAAACGAAAATATGACAGAACCAACAAACGGAAGCTCACAATCTGGAGAATATGCTAGTGTACTCAATTGTTTCTAGTCACGCTAGCACGCCCAAATTTTTCGAGTTTCTCCTGGTTAATTATCTGAAATGCTACACAGTTCCTGTAGCGAGGATTACGAGCGGAGCGAGCCCCGTTGGCCACTTGGTAAAGATGAGTACACACACCACTTACAATCCCAGCAACCCATGCAATTCCTCCTCGAGCACGAGCAATTTGCGAGGGCTCTGTGAAGAGTGTTGTTCTCTGCATTCTGAGAACTACCGTAGAAATTTTGCTCACGTTTGTGAAACAATTTCGCCGTGAACACTTGTTCAGTGTTTCTGTTTCTC